CACTTACCGCTGTTTCACCATAGGAACGGATTATGTTTGAATGAATAAGAATATTGGTAAGACCTAATATAAAATGTAGTAACTACAATAAAACTAAAATGTTGAGTTATTGTATTTTAGTTGCTAATAGAAAATTAATGTATTGCATTCGAACAAAAGGAAGATTTCCTGTGTATTCTCTTTCGTAGCTCTGTATTTTACAACACATATCATATCTTTTAGGGGTAACAAATAATTGGTTTTAAAATAAAGTTGTTTTTTTAGAAATTGATGGAAGAGAACACTAATTGGACAGTTATAAAAACATTGAGAATTGCAAGAAAGTTGATTTGACAGTTATACAAAATTGAGAATTGTAAGAAAGTTGATTGGACAGTTATAAAAAATTGAGAATTGCAAGAAAGTTGATTGGACAATTATAAAAAAATTGAGAATTGCAAGAAAGTTGATTGGACAGTTATAAAATAATTGAGAATTGCAAGAAAGTTGATTGGACAATTATAAAAAAATTGAGAATTGCAAGAAAGTTGATTGGACAGTTATAAAAAATTTAGAATTGAAAGAAAGTTGATTGGACAGTTATAAAAAATTTAGAATTGCAAGAAAGTTGATTGGACAGTTATAAAAAAAATTGAGAATTGCAAAAAGTTGATAACTTGCTATTAAGTTTGTATATCTTAGAGGTCTGATTTGAGCATCATTTGAAAAATCCCTTTTGACCTCAAATTTAAAAGCGGATATAATTTTAGTTATTGTCTAAATAGCTTGTTTTTTAACTATAAGAGGAAGTTGTTGACCAATCATAATACAGTTTTTACACTTGTTGTTACAATGATTTTATGTCTAATTCAATATGTCATTTTTCGTTTTTATCTGATTCAATATGTTCTTTCTTGTTGTCTGTATGCCATCTTTATTAATTAATTTAGTAAAATGTATAAAACAGACAACGTATAATGCTATTGAAACAGCAGGTTCGTTACAAATAAACTTGCATATTCACAAGACTATCATTTTTGTAGTGGGGAAAAAATCACCAGAGGCACATTAAAAAGCTTGTTTTATTTAGAAAAATTTGGAGATATTAAAATATGTTTACTGTGCTTTCTGTCATTCTTAATCAGCAAATCAGGCTTATTCTAAATCGGAGCTAATGCAAGTACCATATGTTCTGTACAGTGTTCATTGAACCTCACAATATCCTGCATACAGACAAACGTCTCTCTTCTGGACAGTGTTCATTTATCCCAACAACATCCTGCATACTTACAAGCACCATCTGTTCTGGACAATGTTCATTGATTCTTAAAATATACTGCATACTGATAAGCACCATCTGTTCTGGACAGTGTTCATTGATTCTTACAATATCCTGCATGCTGACAAACCCCATCTGTCCTGGACAGTAGTCGTTGATATCAACACAATATCCTGCATACCGACAAGCATCATTTCTCCTGGACAGTGTTCATTTATCCCAACAACATCCTGCATACTTACAGGCACCATCTGTTCTGTACAGTGTTCATTGATTCTTACAATATCCTGCATACTGATAAGCACCATCTGTTTTGGACAGTGTTCATTGATGCTTAGAATATCCTGCATGCTGACAAGCACCATCTGTCCTGGACAGTAGTCATTGATATCAACACAATATCCTGCATACCGACAAGCATCATTTCTCCTGGACAGTGTTCATTTATCCCAACAACATCCTGCATACTGACAAGCACAATCTGTATTGGACGGTGTTTACTGATCACCACAATATCCTGTATACTAACAAGCATTATCTGTCTTGGACGGTGTTTACTGATCACAACAATATCCTACATACTGACAAGTATGATACGTCCTGGACAATGTCCGTTGGTTCTCACAATATCCTGCATACTGACACCCATTTTATTCAACACACCAATTTCGTATAGTGGAAAGAGGGAGTAAAAGGAAAAACAAAAGCAATGTTACTCTGTAAGAAAAGTAGGTTAGGTAAATAGCATAATACGGTTTTCACACATTCTGCAGTAAGTCTAAACTTTTCTGAGTAAATATTGTGGTTCTTAATGTGCCTTTCGTGAAACTGTGTTTCACTAAAACAAGTAATTTTTAAAATATATTAATCTTATATGCGTATTTTTTCATAATCGCCCCGTACGTCTTGTTCGTTCTAGGTCATTGGACGATATACTTCGTTCACTGTTCAAGCTTATCTGTTTGATTATGTTACGATACTGAAATCATAGTTGAAATATTATTTACAGTGACGCATCAGATTACAACACATACTTTGGTGGAAACATATGCGGATCAATTTTCAATGAGCGAACCAATGCATTTTACTTTACATATAATGTTCGTGGTGTATTTAGAGAAATAAAGGAATGTGTGTGTGTGTGCGCGTGTTCGCGTGTATGGCTGAATGTACTGACCATTCTTCTCACACAACTTTATTTGAACTATATTAAAGAGAGTGCATTGCGAGATGGCTATTTTATTAAGACGGTTTTTGGCCTGAATCGTTTATAAAAGTGTCCAGTAAGATAGGTTTCAATATTTCCAGTTTGTTTGTAATTAAACACAAAGCTACACAATAGGCTCTAGCGTTGTAAGCCCGCAGACATACCGCTGTGCCACCTGGGGGTGGGGTGGGCTGTCCAGTAAGACAGGCCCTAACATAAATGATATAATGTATTATAATTATTTTATTATTATAAAAGTCGATAATTAATCACCCAAGATACTACTGCAAAATAATAATCCGAATGTAATGAAAAACCTCATAGGAACAACATACAGAGCTACACAATGGGCTCTAGCGTTGTAAGTCCGCAGACATACCGCTGTGCCACCTGGGGGGGGGGGCTGTAATGTAATGAAAAACCTCATAGGAACAACATACAGAGCTACACAATGGGCTACCTGTACTTTTCTCACCACGGATATCGAAACCCGGATTCTAGTGTTGTAAGTCCGCAGACATACCGCTGTGCCACTAGGGGGCTGGACAATAAGATCGTTTATAACCCATTAATTTGATTTGATTTTTGGAGTATCCACTGCGTAGATTTTGGAAAATTATAAACGAAGAATGATAATTATATCAGAGAACAGCTTATTTTTTACGTTTCTACAATTATTAAAGTATGGAAATCTAAATATAACAAAATTATTAAAGTATGGAAGTCTAAATATAACAAAATTATTAAAGGAATTCTGTTAATTAGCAGAAATGAGAAAACATTAAACAGTTAACGCGTTATGTATAACACAGAACTGATAATATGGGGATAAATTAAGTTCTGATGCTACGTATTTTTTTCGTTTAAGATAAAAATGCTTTTAAGTTTTTTTGTTTTTTTTACTATTAATAAGAGAGAGTTTGTATTTCTACTTGTCTTTCACCTGTGTTTCGAAACTAAAGCTTCAAAATTACTTTTAAATATTTCACGAAATCGTAAAAAAATATTGTAAGCGGTTTTTAGACTTGGAACTCATGATTGATGAAAAATAAGTTTCTCAATCGATTTATCATTATATGAACTATGTGAAGATACATAAGGTTTTCCTAAGCTCAGTTGTGTGCTGATCCTACATTTACCAACGTTAGTAATCTCTTAATGATCCAGTCTTTGCCAGTTGTAATTTGCTTTTGACAGACAGGGTATTTCATCATTGACGGCCCGGCATGGCCAGGTGGTTAGGGCACTCGACTCGCAATCTGAGGGTCGCGGTTTCGAATCCCGTCCCACCAAACATGCTCGCCCTTTCAGCCGCGGGGGCGTTATAAGTAACGGTCAATCCCACTATTCGTTGGTAAAAGAGTAGCCCAAGAGTAGGCGGTGGGTGGTGATGATTAGCTGCCTTCCCCCTGGTCTTACACTGCTAAATTAGGAACCGCTAGCGCAGATAGCTCTCGTGTAGCTTTGCGCGAAATTCAAAACAAACAAACAAACAAATCAGAACTAAAACAACAACAACAACTGCGTTTTACTATTTGTTTCGGGTTTTAAAGGTTGCATAGCTTCAACTATCACATGCCCCATACATCAACTATTTGAATTCTACATGCAATATGTATCTGGCTACATTTTACCAATTTTGAATAACTACTTGTATAACACAATGAAGACAAACATTTGTTCATTAATCTTTCACCAAAATAGCAAAAGAAAATGTAATGAAGCGATTGAAAATCAAGTTATGCAAATAATCATTATTAGAACACGCGATCCAGCACGTTTCGTCACCACGAACCAGACTTAACATAAACATTTAATTTAAGCAAATTCTTGGGGAACATTTGATAGAAACTCCCAATTAACCATCTAAACTTCGCTTGACTAGGTGGTTAGGGCGCTTGACTCGCAATCTGAGGGTCGTGGGTTCGAATCCCCGTCCCACCAAACATGCACCCCTTTCAGCTGTTGGGGCGTTATAATGTGACGATCAATCTCACTATGCGTTGGTAAAATTGGCGGAGGGTGGTGATGAATAGCTGCCTTCCATCAAGTCTTTTACTGCTAAATTAGGGACGGCTAGCGCAGATATCCCTCGTGAAGCTTTGCGCGAAATTCGAACAAAACCTTTTCTTCCCAGAAAAAAATAAAGCACCGGTAAAGCGACTAAGTTCTTTTTTTTTTTTTTGGAGGTTGGGGGGACTCTGCCAATCTATTTGGCACGTTTCTTTTCCTCACAATATATATTAATGTTTTCAAAGTGTTAAATGCCATAAATACTTGAAAACATCTGGCAAGAGCATATTCGCTGCTGAGTTTCACAGATGAATTAATATCAGATGATTTTTAGAATGGTTGAGAGGTATCACGTACTCCATTTCGGCATTGTACCTTACGGCAGAGATTAGCGTATTATGGCTTGTATGTTTCTATAGCAACGGGGAGTGGTATGCGCCGTGGCTGCACCGCTAGTCCAGTTTCAAGGTTTTAGGAGATAAGGAAGCACTAAAGTTAGCGCTACGTGAATATTGTAGAAACTTCTAGCGGACTGCATACACTGGCCGTTATATAGATTCTGGTGTATTGATATTTATACACCAGTTTTTTATATATATTTTTTTTACCTTTACAAGAATACCGTTTGCAGTCAATGTTCCTTTTCTATGACGAAATATACTTGATTTTTGGTTCAACAGTTGCTTTGTGAACTATAGTTTAAGGAATATTTCGTACGTAATTTAAAAGGAAAAGAAACTTAATGCGGTTTTATATTCTAGTCTCATTTTGACAATCAAAAGATCGATAATGGAAAAATAATGACGCACTCTAGCGGCAGATTGGGAGAATCATATCTACCAACTCATAGCGTGTTAAACAAGTTAACATAGGTAAGGAAGTGCCAGCATCATTCATCAGTTTTATCATGTTTGTAGTGAGTTTTATTAAAAAATTAAAATAGTTCTAATAACCTAATTGGTCTTGTACGAGTTGTTTTAAATTTAAAGTTTACTTGAGAAACTCGAATATGGAAGAGAATATCCAAGAGCAAAAAAGTATAGTTTCACCACTTCAATAAATCATCGAAACAGAAACCTAAACAGAGAATAATATTTCATTATTGAAAACTGTCTCCATATTTAGTTGTTAGCTAACCCTAGTGGTGGTCAATAACGTTTGATGGACAGTCACATCACGTGTAAGAAGCCATGCGGGAGTATAAGCTTGTAGTCCTTGGTGCTGGTGGAGTAGGGAAGACATCGCTGGTAGTCCAATACCTAGAAGGTTTCTACTCATCTACTTACAAACCTACAGTGGAGGATTACTACCGACATACCATGCAAATGCCTGGTAATCATTAATTAATTGTGTTTACCAGCTTACTTTAGTCGCCTTTCTTTGTCTTATTTTTTTTCTTTTTCAATTTCATGTCTGCATATCATTTTATTTATCTGACTGTTTCTTTGAATATGACTTTGCTTATAGATAATAATTAATGCTTTTTGAAATGCTCATTTGTTTTACTGTTTAACAGATCTTTGTTCTGAGTTGTCTGAACAAACTGTGTGTTTGTACCATTTCAACCACCGTCCTATGTTTACTTTTTATATTACGTTTTACCTGTATGACATTGCTGGTCTATACTTTTAAATTATTCACTGGTTTAGCTAGCTGTCTCCTTCTTCTACATTAAGTCTTAGTAATGTTCTTTATTTAACTTTTAAACTTTTTGAAGCTTTTATTTTTTCAATTAAGGCTTCTAACTTTAACTTTTAAGTTTTACAAAATAGTTTTTAAAATGTGTACGTTTTAACAAGAAAAACTGTTTTATTTCAAAGGTTATTTCCAATATATTGACTTCCCAGTTTATTATTTACCGAATGTTAGTATTTTGAACACTGTATAGGTTAACTGTTAGGTTTCACAAGCTGTTTACAAAAATGTTTAAAAAAAATATGTGCCTACTCTCTTCCCCCCAGTGGCTCAACGGTAATTCTGAAGACTTATAACGCTAAAAACCGGGCGCAGCACAAATAGGCCATAGTGTAGATTTATGCTTAACGACAGAAAGAAAACAAATACAGCAAAGAAAAATGCAGCCAATACAGAACAATGTAATACAGAGGTAATCTTATGTATACTTGGATAAGATATTTCCAACCAGGCAACAGCCAAGAAACACACGATTATTTAATTATATATATAAAAAAAAACAACTAAGTACTATCATAGAAAGTTTCCAAGCTGGCATTAGTGAAGAAAAGCACGAATACAGACTGTTTTCCACTTGGGAAACCTGAAATAAAGGCTGTTTTAGAGAATGTTTACGACCCGAAAATCTTTGAAAAAAACTATAGTTGTGAATTCAAAGAATGTCTTCTTTACAGAAAACTTTTGGAAGAATGTATGAATTACATAGAAATAGTGATATATAAGAACATAGCCTCACGTTAACATAGCAAAACGATTGAGATTATCGAAAATTTCCAACGTGTCGTTAGGATACGAAAAGGCAGAGCAGAGGATATGTCGGTAAACGAATGTCGAAGTGATGTCTTAGCAAGAGATTTAAGCAAGTATTGCACGTTATAAACCAGTATCACTTTCTACGCTATAGATATTTATCATAACGTGTTGAACAAAAATTTTAACCAGTTTCTTGTATCATTAGCAGCTATTTAGGTGTTCGATAAATAGAATATAGAAGGGGGGGGGAAGAAAAAGATCAACCGTACTTTATCTAAACCGATGCTCTAGTCCTCGTATCGCTTTTGAAGCTATTTCTTCTATCGTCGATCACACTCACTCTGATGATCATAATTACTTACTATTGCACAATACTACAATTTCCATTGTAATAAGCTTCTGCGAAGTATTGCGAAGTCAATATTAGACCACTCGTTTAGGCAAACTTTTCATAGACACTTCATTGTTGGCTTCCAAGATCATGTTCAAGCAGACTTGAGGTATGATAGGCCATTAGAGCTCCATTAATCACTTGAAAATGTTTACGACCTGGAAAACTACTTAAAAATAAGCAATGTTTATGGATTCAAATAAAGTGATCTTTAGAAAAACTTTAAAACAGAATGATTGAATTACATCACACTTCAGCACCAGAGAGACCGCATGGCATCATGGGATCTTTCTACTTTAATGAAACTGTTACGTAGATATATAACAATCTAGTTGCAAGAAAACATGCCCCCCACCCAGTGGCACAGCGGTATGTCTGCGGACTTACAACGCTAGAAACCTGGTTTCGATACCCGTGGTGGGCAGAGCACAGATAGCCCATGGTGTAGCTTTGTGCATAACTTCAAACAAAGCAAGAAACCATTGTTGGTTCCCTTTAGATGTTTGGTGAGTTATTAGAAGACTTTACAAGCAACATTGCGTATAACTCAAAGTGATTGATGCCCAGAAGTATGGAAGATAGTAATGCAACTGTACGTTAAGATCATCATCCTGAATGTGTGCGCCAGGTTTTCATTTTGTGGTGCCATTAGCAAACTGTTTAAAATTTGAGTGTGGACAATTAAACTGGGGTACTCTTTGCTGTGATACTATCATTGCAATAATAACAGAGCAACTGTTGGTTTAGACTAGGTTTCGTTAAACACTTGAAAGATATCTGATACAATAGGATTGCTTCGATTCGCAAGAAAACAGCCATTGATTTCGAACTTTTATTGGAAGGTTGTGCACATTAGTAAGCCTTGTCAACTTCAAATCCTCTTTTATTATCTTGTCAAAAATATCACGAGCTTTATCGCAAAGTTTTTCTTTTTATTGTGTGACTCCCTTCACTTTACGAATAAGATCGTTGCTCCATATAGGCTTAAGGTGTGGTTTTGGAGCCCGTTGCTCTCCTAAGCGCTTGGCTTTACAATCTTGAGTTTCCATGATAAAGAGCATTCAAAGTTTCCTTCTTCGAAGTTGGATATTCATCGTTTGTGCGGGCTGGCCCTGTGATAGAACTTTGGATTTTGGAACTGGCGAGCCAAGTTCGAATTCGTGTAATACCACAATATATTACCCGCATTTTAAGCTGTGGGTGCGTTATAAAAGTTTTAGCAATCCCTTAGCACGGATGGTGGGCTGCGTTACCTCTGGTCAGTATTTCAAAACTAGGGACGGCGGCAGTTACATTAGTAGCTTTACTATAAATACAAAACACAAATACATCGTTGAATATTCTCATGGTACATATAAATACTTTCAGAACGCCTTTTTTATATAATATATATATATTTATAAACATAATATATCTGTAACGACATTGTCGGGAACTCGCTGTTAATCAAACATATAGGCGCTAAACATGTTGCTCCTGACACCACGATTCGCGTCTGTGACGATTCTCCAATATATTAACATATACACATAGGTTAAATAGATTGTAAATAACTCCCTCTCTCTGTACACTCTAGAAAAAAGAGGATAGTAATGATTACTTTTATTTTGGCTAGAAAGTATCAAGAAAATTGTTTGAAAGTTGAGTGTAGATAATTAAACCGGGATATTCTTTAATATGTTTTCACTGTTGCAATAATAATTGTTTGAAAGTTGAGTGTAGGTAATTAAACCGGGATATTCTTTAATATGATGTTACTGTTGCAACAATAATTGTTTGAAAGTTACATGTAGATAATTAAACCGGGATATTCTTTAATATGATATCACTGTTGCAATAGTAATTGTTTGAAAGTTAAGTGTAGATAATTAAACCGGGATATTTTTTAATATGATGTTACTGTTGCAATAATAACTGTTTGAAAGTTACAGTGTAGATAATTAAACCGGGATATTCTTTAATATGATATTACTGTTGCAATAATAACTGTTTGAAAGTTAAATGTAGATAATTAAACCGGGATATTCTTGAATGTGCTATTTACTGTTGCAACAATAGCGGACCAACTATTGGTTCAGACTAGGCTTGTGGCGATGTCTAAGAATATTTTAAACTGGCTGAAGTACCCGTCCCCTGGACAGAAGTTATGTAAATTCATGATTAATGAAAGGTTATCTTAGGACATGAAGAGTTGCTTCCCTTACATGTAATTGTAAAAAACACAAAAACTCCCATAAAAACAGCGAAACACAAAACGTGAACTCACATATTTGTATGTAATTACGCATAGACCCAACAAACCTTCATGCCAAATTTGGTGGCGAAGTAGTTGTAAAAAACGCAAAACTGAAACTTCGTATGTACCCCCATATGAACCTAATAAACCTCTATACAAAATTTGGTGATAATCCATCCAAGAGATGAAGTAGTGATAAAAAAATGCAAAAAAGCCCATAAAAACCGCAAAACTCAAAATGCAAAACTGAACATTTATACGTTCCTCCGCATGAACCTATTGAACTAGCTTCCATACCAATTTCAGTGAAGATCCATCCACACCCTGTGAAGTAGTTACAACAGAGCATATTATATTGGAAAACATACAGTTAAATTGAAAATTAAGTATTTACATATTTTGAAATCAATTTTTAGAGTAAAAATCTCTATTTACCTCAAAGATGGTGTGCCGAAAGGTAAGCGTTTATTGGCTTTTTTATAAATGTACATGTCCATGCTGTGGCAAAATATGAAAGGTAAGCGTTTATTGGCCATGCTGTGGCAAAATATATATATATTTGGTCTACCGTTTGATATCTTTCCATGTGTTTAAAATAATAGTTACCATCAGGTTTGGGTATACACCCATTGTTGCACGTCACATATCAAGAATATGTAACACTGATATTTATTTCAGTTATCTTGATATTATAAATATGGCTGAAAGTGAGCAACAATTCTAAATAACAGAAAGTATTCTAATGAGTTGAGTTGAGTACTAGGTGACAATCCCAGGCGTTGTGCTACTAGGCTCCGACTCCTCGTGTGGAGGCGGAGTTCCTTGACTGATGTTACCAGCGATATTCTGACTGTATACTCTTACATTCATCCCCAATCTTCTGGTTTCCTAGCTACATTATAATATATTTTGTTTTCCAACAATCTCGTTTTCCTCCGAATGTCAATGAAGACCTTCCATGGTTACCGCTTTCGTCTTACAAGTGCAGAGGAAGGTAATATCCTACCAGAGTACATAATTTGGTAAAGAGTCTTCCCTTGCGAGCTTGTCAGCTTCCTCGTTTAGCTTTACCCCTGCATAACCTGATGCATACGTCCAAGTGAAGGTCACAATCTTAACACGCAGATAGTTTGCTATCTGCCTGCCATCTTCTGGGGAACAACAGCTCTAATTTTACGCAATTTTGCTTCTGAAATCTCCCAATAGCTCAACAAAGATCTACTTTGGACTAACAGTGTTAAATTGGTCCATTGTTTT